ACAGCTCTCGGGGTGAGCACTCAGTAAACGTGTACTGACTTCGTGAATAAGACATCCTTCTTCGAGGCAAAACAAAGGCTCAAACAGCAACAACAGAAATCATCCGTTCCTCCCAACTCAAACTAGATATGACATGTCCACAATAACAAGAACAGATTTTGGGGGAGCTGGCTTGTAAACCGGCTGAAAGACAATTCCAAATGAGAAGCTCAAAGTGTTTTAGGCAATAGCACAACTGCTAGAATACTGCCAGACAAGATGATGACTTTGAAAAAAGAACAGTTTTTGACATGTTCATCACTCAAGGCCATGCCACTGATCAGGGTGGTGGTCACTCTGAAATATAAAGGCTGGCTGACAGGGATAAGCCTGGATGTGAGGAAGCAATACCAGATTTTTCTAGTTGGCGTGGTATTTGTGATTACTATGTATGTGGCTGAATTAGTTTTCTTTTGTTTACTGTAACCTTAATCACATCTGCAAAGTCCTTTGCCATGTGAGATTAAAAACAAAACAAAACAAACCACAGGTTCTGGGGATTAGGGCATGGATTATCTTTGGAGGCCATTTTCTCTTCTCTAACATAGTCTGGGCCCTCTGGCTTCCAAAGATTGATATCCATCCCACATGCAAACTACAGTCACCTCATCTCAAGGACCCCAAAGATCTCATCCAGTATAACATCAACTCAAATTTCATCATCTAAATTAGGTATAGATGAGACTCTGGGTATGATCCACTATGGGACACACTTCCTCTCCACCTGTGGGCCTGGGAAACTAAAGAAACAAATTATCTGCTCCTAAAATACAATGATGGGACAGGCCTAGGACAGCATTTATAGATATTCTGGTTCAAAGGGGGAGAAAATGGAAGGAAAAAAGGAGTCACCATTCCTAATAAATTTAGAAATCCAGCTGGGCAAACTCCCTTATATTTCAGCTCTGAGAACAATCCTCTGTGGCTCACAGCTCTGTTCATGGCTTGAAGAGGAATAATCCTTCCTTTTTCAAGAAAGGTAGCATATGTTTGCAGCTGAGTAGTTTTTAATCAGCCTGTTTGCCGCTTATAGAATTTTGGGGGGTCTGACAGACTTCTTTCATTTTGTACTGTCTCTTTCAGTCCAACCTGGCAGTGTTTCTACTGATATAAAATTCTTCAAGAAGCCTGTGGGTCTCCCACGTATGTCACAGGGATTCATTCCATTAAGACATGAAGCTCAGGGGCTTCCCTGGTGGCACAGTGGTTAAGAATCCGCCTGCCAATGCAGGGGACACAGGTTCGATCCCTGGTCCCGGAAGATCCCACACGCTGTGGCGCAACTAAGTCCATGTGCCACAACTACTGAGCCTGCACTCTAGAGCCCACAAGCCACAACTACCGAGGGCCGCGTGTCTAGAGCCCGTCCCCCAAAAAAAGAAAAGCCAATGCAGTAAGAAGCCCACGCACTGCAACGAAGAGTAGCCCCTGCTCTCCACAACTAGAGAAAGCCCGTGCACAGCAACAAAGACCCAACGCAGCCAATAATAAATAAATAAATAAATTTATTAAAAAAAAAAAAAAAGACATGAAGCTCATTCACAGATATTTCCTTGATAATCCCATCTCTACTTTTGGCTTCTGCTTAGATGGCTGAGGGATAATGCCCGAGTTTCCTAGAGGCTCCCTGGTTACACTGAGGGGGATCTGTGAGTCACTCTCTTAGGCTCTTCAAAGAGCCTTTGTGTAACTGAACACTCTGACATTCTCAATGCAGCCTTGGTTTTTTTCTCTAGAGCATGCTTTTCCTGACAGTCAATCTCTTAATTTTAGGGTCTTTTATCATCTGGAGAGTATGAGATTTTCAGAAATAATCAAGCCTGTTCCTTAAAAAAAAAAAACAAAACAAAAAACACCTATTTATTTATTTATTTATTTATTTATTATTTTTGGCTGCATTGGGTCTTCGTTGCTGTGTGCAGGCCTTCTCTAGTTGCGGCGAGCAGGGGATACTCTTCGTTGCAATGCGCAGGCTTCCCATTGCGGTGGCTTCTCTTGTTGCAGAGCAGAGGCTCCAGGCATGCGGGCTTCAGTAGCTGTGGCACGTGGGCTCAGCAGTTGTGGCTCGTGGGCTCTAGAGTGCACGCTCAGTAGTTGTGGTGCACGGGCTTAGTTGCTCCATGGCATGTGGGATCTTTCTGGACCAGGGCTCGAACCCATGCCCCCTGCACCAGCAGGCAGATTCTTGACCACTGCGCCACCAGAGAAGTCCCGCCTGTTCCTTTTTGTTAACAGCTCTCCTCTCAGTCTCTCTCTTTCCACTTGCATTTGCTACTCTTCAATACTGTGCTTGGGGGACTTCCCTGGTGGTCCAGTGGGTAAGACTCTGTGCTCCCAATGCAGGGGGCCTGGGCTCAATGCCTGGTTGGGGAACTAGATCCCGCATGCATGCCTCAACTAAGAGTCCGCATGCCGCAAATAAAGATCCTACATGCCAAAACTAAGACCCAGCAGAGCCAAAAAAAAAAAAAAAAAAACAACTGTGCTTGGAAACTTCAGTTAAATGTCGTTTCACCATTTACAAGTTCTACTTTCTTCATAACTGCTGGACACAAGTCAGCTAAGCTTTCTGCCATTGTATAACAAGGATTCCCTTTCTCCAGTTTTCAATAACATGTTCTCCATTTCCTTCTGAGTCCTCACCAGCACTGCTTTTCGTGTCCATATTTCTACTAACAGTCTGTTCATGGTGATTTAAGTGTTCTCTAAGGTAATTTAGGCTTTGCCCATTATGGTCCTCACTTACTTCTGAGCCCTCAATGGTGGTTTCTAATGTCTGTATTTCTACTAATGGTCTGTTCAAGGCAATCTATGTATTTTTCTATCATGCTTCTCAAAATTCTTCCAGTTTCTACCCATTGCCCAATTCCAAACCCATTTCTACATTTTAAGATATCTGTTACAGCAGCATTCCACTTCTGGTTCCAAAATTTATTTTCTATTGCTGCTGTAACAAATTACCACAAACTTATTAGCTAAATGTAACACAAATTTATTATTTTATAGTTTTATAGGTCAGAAGTCCAGCATGGGTCTCATCAGACTAAAATCAAGGTGCTGGTGGGCTATGTTACCTACTGGAGGTTCCAGGAGGCAATCTGTTTGCTGCTCATCTGGAATGTCAGAGGATTCAGTTCTTTGAGGTTGTAGGACTTAAGTCCCCCTTTTCTTGGCAGCTATAAACAGAATGCTATTCTCTGCTTCTGGAAGCTCTCACGTTCCTTGGCTCATGGCCTTCTTCCTCTACCTTCACAGAGAGCAACAGGAGGTAAAATTCTTCTTGTGTCTCTCTGACTCTTTGTCCATCACTCCATCTTTGTCTGATCAGAGAAAAGCTCACTCTGCTTTTAAGGAGTCATGTGATTAGACTGGATTTACCTGGATAATTCAGGATAATCGTCCCTATTTCAAGTTCCATAACCGGAATCACATTTGGAAAGTCCCTACTGCCATGTAAGGAAATATATCCAAAGGTTTATAGGTTCCAGAGATTACGACATGGGACATCTTTGGGGAACATTTTTCTGCCTACCAAACCTGTGGCAAAGAGCAAAGTCACGGAGCCATTTGCCTAGGTTCAAATTCCTGCTACGCCAATTACTACCTGTGTAACCATGTTTACTTGGGCTCTGTGTGTCAGTTGTGTCATCTGTAAAATGAGGATAATAGTACCTATCTGTGGTGGAGACCTGGAGACTGTTAACTGCCCCAAATAGCCATTTCCCACTTTATTTTCTTGGTCACAAAACCCACTCCTTACCCTTCAAATTTAAGCTGGACAAAAAATCGGCCAGCTAGAAACTATATATGGTATCTGCCTTGGAGCCAGGTTGTAGCCATATGACTCAGTTTAGACCAATAGGGTATGAGCAGAAATAATATATATAATTTCTGCTTCACTTAAAACTTAAAAGCTGCCTGCCTGGCAACTTGTCTCTGTCTCTCTCCTCTTCTATGGGTTGGAGTGCAAATGTGGCTGCAACCTAGTCACAATTATGCAGATAAGAACACCACCTTAGTGAAGCAATGAGATCAAGAAACCCAGGTCTTTGAATGACCTCATGGGACAGATCTGCCCCACCTGCCACGCAGGGCTGGACTATTATATGAGAGAAAAATAGACTTCTTTATTATATAAATCAATGTATTTAATAGCTGTAAAGTGCCCAGACACATAAGGAGTGCTATACAGTAATGTTGTTCTTACTGACTGCATTATTTTGCATTCTGGAGGTTGTAATTCTACTTAATGTCTCAGGCCACCAGTCTCCTACAGAAAACAGATAAGCAACAGTAGTGCAATGTGACTTAATTAAAATGTGTAATAAGGGACTCCCCTGGTGGCGCAGTGGATGAGAATCCGCCTGCCAACGCAGGGGACACACACTCAATCCCTGGCCCAGGAGGATACTACATGCCGCGGAGCAACTAGGCCCGTGCGCTACAACTACTGAGCCTGTGCTCTAGAGCCCGTAAACCACAACTACTGAAGCCCACAAGCCACAACTACTGAAGCCCACGCGCCTAGAGCCCGTGCTCAGTAACAGAAGCCACTGCAATGAGAAGCCTGCGTATCGCAACGAAGAGTAGCCCGTGCTCGCTGCAACTAGAGAAAAGCCTGCGCGCAGCAATGAAGACTCAACGCAGCCAAAAATAAGTTAATTAAAATGTGTAATAACACATTTTATTTAAATAGTAAAGAGAAGAGGAACCGGAAGTTATTGAATTCATATGTGCCAGGCATTTACTATGTTACATTTGACCGAGAAATAGTTCTAAGAGGCTGCAGAGATGAGAAAACAGAGGCTCAGGGGTTAGGTCCCTTCCTTGAGATCATTCTAGTCTGGGGTAGCTTGAGAGCTTATTTTTCCCACAATATTCACTGCCGCCTCTGCCCAAAAGGCAGGTTAATGGGGGAGTTGCAAATCAGTCAATAAGCTCCCCTGAATCATGTTACTCACATAGATGTTCGGTACTTGATGTCATCTTTTTCAGCCAGTTCTTCACAAGTGAGACCGTTGTGCTCTTTCCAGAGTCCCTGACACTTCCTACAGGTTTCCTGGAGATAAAGGAGAGACACAAAGACAGCTCTTGGTGAGTAGACACCATATACGTTTCTGTTTAACAATCGGGAATGCGAAACAAGCTTCACTTGGCTTGAATTCTTTCAGAGGATCTCTCTCCTTTTCAGCAGGGATATTTCTAAAGACATCTCAATAGAAGATGTAAGAATCGTTATAAGAAAGCATGGGGAAATTTTTCTCTCCTTGGATCAAAAGAAAGTGTCGCTCCCATCACCCAAGGTTTATAACGTTTTCTAAAATGCCAGGAGTCACCTGAAAAAACTACAGAAGATAAATTTATGTGATCTTGGTTTTCTAAAAATAAAATACTGTGAGCTGCTTGAGGTCTGGTTCTGCCCAGTGTTCCAGTGTTGGTCTGGCATAGACCACTTGTGTTGAATTGAAGTGAAGAACAGTCTAGATTAGGATCACTAGGGGTCCTTAAGGGAGACATTCCCTCAGTCATCCCTCACTCATAAACATGGATATCATCCTCCATAGCTTAACTTCATTTATAAACATAAATTCAAAATAATTACTAATTTTTATTCTAGGACTCTTCACAGTTTATAAAATATTTTCACATGTGCCAGAAACCATCTCACATCAGTAACAGGAATTTAAAGAAACATTAATCCAATTTAATTTCCATAAATAGAAATCACAACCCTAATAAGTACAATAAAGGAAGAAATGGTGTTGTCAGCTTTGTTTGGCCTGGGGCGACAGTGAAGGCTTGAGGAAGTGGAGCCTGAGATCAGAAAGATGAGTCAAAGAAAGCAGAAGGAGAATAGCATTCCAGACAGAGGAACAGTAAGAGAAAGACTCTGGTAGATGAAACTGGCCGAGTTTGGTTCCTGTACCTGGACTGCAGGCAGTGAAAATAGGCCTGGTGAGGCCCACTGGAGCCCATCCATGTGAGGCTTTGTAGGATGTGATTATCAGTTTGACCTTTATCCTAAGAGTGGTAGGGAGGCATCAAAAGGTGTCAAGCATGGAAGTAACATGAGCAGGTTTGTGATTTTAAAAGATGATTCTGCGTGGAGAACAGAGTAGAGGGAGAAAAGAGTGGAAGTGTAAGACACCAGGAAGCTATTAAAGTCATTCAGGAGAGAGACTATGGAGGCCCCGGTCAGGTAGGTGAGGACATGAAGGAAAGTTGACTGATTTAAGAGAAATTTAGGAAGTAAAACTGGCTGGCTTGGTGACGGCCTGGCTCTGGGAATGAGGAGAGGGAGGTATCAGCCTGATGCCTTGGTTTCTGGTTTGTGTAACCCAAGATAATAGCAACATGGATGGAGCTTGGGAACAGTGGAAAAGGCCTGGCTTGGGAGGAGGGAGGGCAGGTGTTAAGATCCCGAGTTTGATCTTGGCAGTAATGACACCGGGGACCTGTGGGACACCCAGTGGAGATGTCAGGCAGGGAGTTGGGGGTACATGTTTAGCATCTGGAAGTACCTGGGGTAGAGCTCGCCAGGAGATGTGCTAGATTATATCTTCACATCAATTCTAGAAACATCTCCTACCTCTGTACTCTCCACCTACTACTGAACTTTCTGTAATATATACTCTGCTGAGATGGCTCTAACAAGGTGCAGAGTAGTAAACATAGTAAAGATGCTAACACTTCTACGTCAAAAAAGGTGGTGGTGGGAGAATATCGTGATATATAAAACCAACCTGAAAGGATACCCAAGCAATTGGCAGTACTGATTGTCCCGAGTGGCTGGAAAGTGGGGTGAGACTTCTTATTGTAAGCTCTTTGTATCTTGTACTACACCTAACTAAAATATAAAATTTTAAAAGAGAAAGAGAAATAAAATGGACTGCTTGAGGAACTGAGAACCTGAATAACTCTCATAAAAAGGCTTCAATCAATGGCATGGGGTGGGGTGGGGTTAGAGATGAGCTGACCAGAGATTCTCTATTAAATGCTGTTGCTTCCAAGGGATATGCTGTTCTCTGGTCCACTACCTACATCTCTGTCAGTAAACAGAAGCTAAATCAGTACTGACTTCATTACTACACACCCAAACGTAAAGCAGCATAAAACCCAATTTTAAAAAAAAACCCATTTTTAAAAGACCTTGTGCCTGACTATTCTGGGAAACTGGAGGATAAACAACAGCTGGAGAATAGATGAGCTAGTATCTATATCCTAACCTTCAAAACAATACTAACCTAGCCACCCACCAGCAATAACATCTTGGAAACAACGCATGGCATTGAGAGAGTGCTTTCCAGCATTGCTGGTGATCCCGTTATTAACTCATGGGACCTTCTTCATAAGGGAAGAGCCCATTTTCTAGGTGAGGCACAGGTCCACGACGGCAGGATGACCTGGCCAAGCTGAGTCAGCTGTGAGGGGTCACCGCGAAGCCACTGCTTACTCCCAGTGTCACAGCGGCTCTCCTGTAGGTCCATGTGTGGTTTTTCAGGCATGTACTTCTCATTGAAGGGCTGAGGGGTCCCAGAGAATAAAAATGAAATGTCTTTTGAAGAGACTAGCTAGTTAGACATTGAAACCTACAATTAAAAGAAGGCAAGCAAATAGCAGGCTGGGTGAATTTTACATTTGGACCTTTCTGTGTGTTGTTTCTTTACAATGTACCCTCTCTTCTAAACGCAGCGCATACTCCACTAAGCCGTAATTCTCTCCTCTCAAGTACAGCTAGGCTTTGTTCCTAAATGCAACAAATGCTTAAACAATATTAGGCAGAAGAAATGTTCTTCAATGTTTCTAACATGAAGATAATCAATTCTTCAAAGTAAGGTTAATGAAAGTCCCAAGGACCATTTTGGAAGGTAGAGTACAACGTTGACAAGTAACTTCAAAACATGAAGGACATGCATATCCTGGCTGTCAAATCTAATTGGAGAGGCTTCCCATCGCCTGTGTGCGTTTTCAGATCAGGAGGAAACAGATGAATTCATCATCGGCCCAAATACAACAGAGAAGGCAGCTCCTTCCTTCTTGATGAGGAAGGCATGCACACACTGGTTAACTCAGCAGCTACCAGTCCATGTTCCTCATGACATCAGAGAGATTTCTGGTTAAGTTTTACGTTGCCCTTTAGTGCACAAGATGCATCAAGGTGTTTTGACTATTCATTAAGGTCTTAACTTTGTACTCTAAAGAAAGTACTCGATAGCTTCTCTTCATCCATTTTCTGCTGCTTAAATAATGTTTACTGGGTAAGGCAGAAGATCGAGTTTGGTTTCAGATGACCCTGTCAGGGAGCTGACATTTCTTCAAAGAAACAGCTTCCTAAAAGACTAGCAGACAGTGTCCAGGTCATCATCTACGCACAGCAGGGCTTCCTGCTGCTGGCAAGGAATCCAAGAGATGAGACCAAGGGTCCAAGTCACCAGACTCTGCACTTCTTGCTCGCCATCCCTCCAGGCCTGCTCTGAAGTTTCTTGGTTCCCTGTGCATCCTGCATCTTTCCTGCTTGACTTCCAGCTTTGTCTCAGAAGCGGAACACAGTCGAGACTGCTCACTTATTTCTGAATGGTTCCTCCAGTGAAACTTCTAGACTCACTCTCCAGGGGAGAGAAGTTTGCTGGCCTAAGATATGGGGTATGGGGCTGTGGCCAATTCATATCAAATCTCTGAAATTCCAGCTCTCTGCTTTGCCATCTCAGGTACTCAAAAAATGGGGGGGCCGTAAATCCTCACACCTCTTAAGTAAAAGATGAGGCCTGGGCACCTGACCATTCACAAGTGCTTAGCATACTCTAGAAGCCACAGGGCTATGGGCATTCAGGCCACATGTGTCTTCCAGCTGTCAAAGTCACTGGTTCTCCCCACCTCAAGACCCAAATGACATATGGATGCTAGCCAAATTCAGAAAGAGTTCGATTTTAAGACAGGAAAACAGACAATGAGATGGATGCTGGAACCCTTGGGAATCAATAAAGCTTGGCAAAGTCAAAGCTCAGGCAGAATCAGTGGGCTTTCCTTCCTCTCACTAAGGGAATTTGAGGATTTCTATTTTCTCTACGGCAAGGATGCCAAGGAAGTCACATATGTGAGCAAACCAAGTAGAGCACAGCGGAGGTAAGTATAATAGTGTACACATGTACGTGCGCACGCGCACACATGAGCACACAAGAGACAGCAAAGGGGGTGGGGCTAAGTCAGACAAGGATTCTTTGAGGAGTTGGTGTCTTCATGGGACTGAATAAAACCAGTATCGTGGGGACTTTCCTGGTGATCCAGTGGTAGAGATTCCGCCTTACAATGCAGGGGATGCAGGTTCGATCCCTGGTCAGCAAACTGAGATCCCAGATGCTGCGGGGCACCTAAGCCTGCGCGACACAACTACTGAGCTTGTGCGCCTCAACTAGAGAGAAGCCTGCACGCCGCAAAGAAGGTCCCTCGTGCTGCAACGAAGACCCGATGCAGCCAAAACAAACAAAAATTAAAAAACAACAGTATCATGAGTGATGAGAACATCCAGGCAACCAATAAAGTACTCCTCCAATCTGGACTGACATCTCTTAGGGAAGTGCCTTTCCCAGCTACAACAGCCATTAAAGTACGTAAAATGTAGAACCAGGGAATTCTCTGGAGGTCCGGTGGTCAGGACTCTGTGCTTTCACTGCTGAGGGCGTGGGTTTAATCCCTGGTCTGGGAACTAAGTTCCCACAAGCCGCACGGCATGGCCAAAAAAAGAAGTAGAACCAGACCTCAATCAAACATTTCAACAATGAAACATATTCAAAGTGTTAATATTTTAATGAACACAAAAGGTTTTCATATTATTAAATGGAATTGTTTTGTTTTGGGCTTCCCTGGTGGCGCAGTGGTTGGGAGTCTGCCTGCCAATGCAGGGTACACGGGTTTGTGCCCCGGTCCGGGAAGATCCCACATGCCGTGGAGCAGCTAGGCCCATGAGCCATGGCCGCTGAGCCTGCGCGTCCGGAGCCTGTGCTCCGCAACGGGAGAGGCCACGACAGTGAGAGGCCCGTGTACCGCAAAAAAAAAAAAAAA